TCATGACCTGATTAGACATATCTTTTGAGACGAATATTAGGCGAAAAAACTCGAATCTGCCGCTAACTTCATCTATGTGAATTATTGCGAATATGAAATGTTGCCAATCGTAGAAAACATCTTATTTACTGTTAATGAATAGAGAATTGCTGTTCATTGAAGAAAAATTCTTAGAACATTTTGAGTTTTACTATGATGTAACAAAAGAATAACTGAATTTAATTGATCTAAATTGGGAACAATTGTTCAAGAATGTTCGTGATTGAGAGATTTAATTCGTACATCAATGAAAGGGATGACGTACAAAGAAAATGTTTGTCGACAAAGGCTCTAAGAGAAGCCTTTCTTCCTTGCATTGATATCTTATCCACCGTGAGAACGCAAACAGATGTCAGATTAGTTGCTGCTATCGATCATTCATTGAAAAGGCCCTCAACATGATGTGTGTACTCTTCGTGACGGTTCTCATTTTTCTTATTTCCAGTGTTGCCATGTCGCCAATAACTCTTCATCTTGGCAACGTTGCGAACGATGATGCCGATCGTATCGATTGTTCACTTTATGATTGTCGTTACGACGATTCGTACTGTGAGTGCGGTTCGACGCCTCTTCCAATCGATCCCTGCTGCAGCTTCATGTGTAATCCGTGTTCGCCCAATTTTATTATTAAACCATCGTTCAACTTCAACATCAATACGCTCAATTTCACCAATCTTATCTTCCCTTGGCGCCGATAAATTTTGCTATTTTTTCTCTTGAAAATAAACACGCTATCAGTCGGAGTCTGTTTTGTTCGGTGTTCGGTCAAATTTTCGCAACCCTAGTGCACGTTCTCGAGTCAAGTCTTGGACTCTTGGCAAAATTGATAGTAAGCTGCCGAAAATGCAAAAAAAAACAACATTTCGATTTGACCCAATCATACATGCTTCAATAGCACTTATTGACGTGATCATGAGTTTCACCTTTAAAACATTTTCGGTCTCGGTTTTTTTGAGAAATTGTCGAAATACGAAAGAATCCTCAAAAAGTGACTTTGTGAGCATTTCAAAGAAAATTCAAGTTTTCGCCCGTTTAGACTGATGGAACGTTTTTTGAAACTAATTTGTTCGAGTTTGGCCTCAAAATGTACGTAGGACTATGTAGGTTTTAGAGTATTTCATCACTTCTGTCTCCATTAGCAAGGCTGACTATATCTTTCAGACGTCCTAGTGACACTCTACTCTCCCAAACATATGTAGTGTTTTGTTTCAAAACATTTCTCCAGTTCGTATACATCATTCAAACCCTCAAGTAAAGGCAAACACTCTTTTGAAAATCAGTGGCAAAAGGTTAAATAATTGTACTCTTATTTCGAGATTTGACTCTCGAAACTTGATATTCATGAAAAAAAAATGATATTTGGGATCAGCATCTAAAATTGCATCAAATAACATATATTTTATCAATACTTTTCTTGAGAAACGAACTTTAGTGGGAACTACTGTCCATTTCAAAATAAAATGCACTCGACTGTTTATTGAATAACTCCCCAATACTAGGAGCTATAGAACTACGGTTTCGCCTTTAGGTAGAGGCTAGATAGGGGTACATATATAACTGAGAATTGAAATACTTCATGACCTTTATAGGAGTTGCTCAACAAATTTTTTGTGTACCACTGATAAACGCTTTTGATTACATGCATTTTTAATTTCAATTTAGGCAACTTGTAGCCCAACCTCGCCTCCATAAATGCTAAAATTTCCAGCCTTTCCTGACCTTTCCCTGAGGTACAGGACAAAATCTTCTGAAATCTACTGACAGTAAATTTTCAAAAATTTTCGCATCGGATCTCTAAACTATATAGGTAATATGACCTGCCGATTGTCGTAGCCTTATTAGTTGAACGATTGACGCCCTTTAATTACTTCATAGCGTCTCATGTATGTCTATATCTATCGGTTGTAAGTGGTCGACTTAAAATAAACAGTAATTTTTTAATCGTTCATGTTTATTCTTTGTCGTATTCGTCATAGCGACACACGTATGCATCAAAGAGATTTTTACGCGTGTAAATGACACAAAAGAAGCACGCATACAAATCTCACTCAGAAATGTGAGAGTCATCTTCATCTATGGGATCTGGATTGTCTTCTTCATCAGTTTCAATCAGTTGTGATTCAATATTATTTTCGACAATGACATCGGCTGCTTTGAAGGTGGTTTCAACTTTGTATGTGTGCTCGATAAAGCTCCTTAATGCGTCTTCGTCGACCGCAGCAATGAACTCGAGAGCAGCCTCTTCGACGTCGGACAGACGGAAATTGACATTTTTATTGCGTACGTATGACTTGAGTTGAGCCCAAGCCAGCTCTATAAGGTTGAATGTGCAATGTTTTATAGGAAGTCGCAAGATTTCGACGTCAAACGCGCGTGCAATTTCATTTGTCACGTATCGCTTCGTTGGAATATTGGCAAACGCAAGTTTGACCAGCTCAGCCTTCGCCATTTTGAGATTCCATGCGATACTTTTGCTGGTCAACCATTTTTACAGTTCATATTTTGTCCATGCACACTTTGGTGGTTTGGCATCATCACACAGTACATTGTGCCATGGTGCATTGTCGATGATTATCGCAATAAGCTGATCAGGACCGTGGTTAATTCGAAGACGAGATGCGGCATACTCAATCCACTTGTGGAATCGTTCGCTATCCATAGCATGATCCTTGTCACAATGCCAAATGTCGATTGGCTCAACGAAACCTTGCAACCCTATCATTGCTGAAATGGCTATGCGCTTGCCCTGTCGGTCCTGTTTGCGCAGCCGACCTTTTCCTTGCGCATCAACTCAAATACTTCGTTTCTCCTCGGCTGCACTCAACCACGTTTCGTCATGGTAGTATACATGAGCACCTGACGCACGGAGTTCGTCGATACGAGGAAAGTAAGACGCGCGTTGAGCAACGAAAGATACTCCATCGAGAGGCACAGGGCTTTTCGTAGTTGACTTGTACGAAAAACTAAGCTGACGCATTTGGCGCCATAATGTCGTGACTGAACGCACTGGAAAATCATCGTATTGAGCAAGCAATCGAGCAAGTAATGTCTTTTTCATCGGATAGACTTTTTCGATTATCATCAAATGAAATTGATATCTGATGGCATCTTGAGCCTGTTCGCTGAGAATCAGACGTGGACGTCCTGAATGTTCCTGTTTCATTGGCGGCTGGGGTTTAGGAACAGACGATTTTCAGTGTTGTTTACGATGTGATGCTGAGGGAGAAGTATTCGCAGGCACCTGGTCCGGTGGAGACGAAACCGGATTTTCCGCCGTCACCGAGTGTAGACGGAGTCGCATCATGGGTGTTGGTGTGGGTGGGTGTGGGTGGGTGTGGGTGGGTGTGAGTGTGGGTGTGGCTAAGGATGGGGTGTGGGTGTTCTCTTCCTTCACACCCACACCCACACCCACACCCACACCCACACCCACACCCTTCGCTGCATCAGTTACACAACTGATGCAGCGAAAGCACATTTTCGTCAAGCAGCTGAAAAAATTCCTGAAACACATGATGCAGTTGATGCTTTATCCGCTGCATTAGCTTGTATATCTGGTACAACAAATATTGTTCCTCGATCTTCATTGAAAAAAAAAGAAGTACGATAAAAAAATTTTTTATAATATTTTTTTATCTGATTTATTATGTAGAATTATACAACATATATGTTAACAGTTACAGATGAATTCAAAGGTCCAGGATTAGTATTTACTATGTTAAAAAAAATGTTTTGGAGAAGATTTTGATGCTAAAGGAATGTGTTCACAAGTTGCATTTATAAAAGATTATCGAGTATGTTTAATAAATTGAAAGATTTATATAATATATTTTAAATTAGAGTGCTGTTTTCGATATACCAAGTGAACTTGATGAACAATTACAAAGTTATTGGAAAGATAGTCCAAGAATTCAAATGAAACCTATTAAAGAATTTACCACAACTTGATGAATCAACTAGAAGTGGTAATAGAGGATTTTCACGTAGTAGTAATGGACTAGTACTTGGTGGAAGCTATACTGGAAGTCGAAATTCTGAACGATCGAGTAAGAATAATCGATTTTATTTATTTATTATTTTAATCAATTTGTTTTATTTTTTAGATGCTTGTTTTAAATGTAAGTATTTTCAATTTTTTTCTATGAAGTTAAGTAAATTATTTTAGGTCAAAAAGAAGGTCATAAATCTTTTGATTGTTCAGAACCGAAAAAAGGACGATCATCAGCAAATATCAGTAATCGTGGTATTAAACGTAGTTTCACTGGTAATCAGACTAATGGACATAGTATAGGTGAAACAAGTAGAAAAAAAAATAAAATTTAATGACGACGATGAATATTGATTAAACAAATTGATATTCAATTTGTTTTCGTTTCACTTTTCTTGTTTTATGTTTTTTTTTTGCAATAACGTTGTTGTTATTGTTTTTTTGTTTTCTCTTGATGAACATCATATTTTTGTTATGATGTTTGAAATTTTGTTGTTTCATCGAAATAAGAATAAAAAAAAAAACATAATGAATAGGTCATCTATTATTTTAACCTCAAGATGACAATTCATATATTGAAATTAGTTCGATTTCAACAAGAGAAATTCGGTTGAAACATACAACTGAATGTCACAATAGTCTGTTGTATATGTTGTCAAATAACTTATTACATATTTTACAATGGTTTATTTGAATATCATTCTTTTCTTATTCGTATGTTTTTTCTTTCTCATTTTTAAGCAAAATTACTAATAGATTATAAACCATTTCTATCCTTATTATTCAATTGATCTAATCAATTTACTTCGTTGTCTGTCTATTTCGAGTTAAATACTCTGGTACTATAATTTGCAACTTTCATATTGAATCTCCAATTTATATAAGTACTCCTGACATATTTATTATATTAAAAACAATTTATAATTATTCCAGTAAAAGATATTAATTGCAACTTCAGATTATACATACGTTCTGGTGTCTTTGTATATACCACTGAAATTGACTAACAATAGACTTTATCATCATATATTATTACAAAACAATCTGAAGGATCATGTAATGAAACGATATCAGATAACTCTGATGACAGATGATTACAAATTTTGAAGAACACTATTTTTTTCATAGTTTTTGGATTTCATTATTCTTTCAAAGACAACAATACTTTGATCAAAATTGTTTCAATCTAGATATGTTGTACTCTTCAAAGACTATTTATCATCACATTATTAGCATTCAATGCTTAGCTATCATATATTTGGATGGAGTAAACAAGATGCATTCATTTCTTCTATGCAATTCGTTATAAAGAATATTATAAAATATTTTGATCTACATCGATTTAGATTTAGATCAACCATTTGTTTAAACATATCTATTCCTTGAAATGGCTCTTTAGATTTCAATATTCTCTGCAATTTTTATTTACATAATGATCAGACAATCAATTTTTCATCCATATCGGTTATTTACAAATCTATATCATCGTCTACTTAGATAAATAAGTAACATTCATTGACTTCTAATTCACTACTCTTAGAACGTATCCTATAGTATTTGACAAATATTTGAAACATATTTCATTTGTATGAAATAACATCTCGATACAAACATAGTCTTAACATTTTATTTATTTGTTTTTCAGAATATTGATGGATAACATATTTTTGCAAAAGGAAAATATTCTTTTAAAGCAGAATTTGAATGATATCTTTCACCATATAAAAGTAAGTTATTTATTTTAGCACAATTAATTCGTATAGTATCTCTTTTGAAATTGTGTGTTACTCGTTGTAAACATTCATATTTGATATGAAGAACAACATTATTCCGAAAATATGTTTTAGTATCAAATAGAAATTGTTCTATATAATCATCGTGAACATGAATAATACCAAGATTACTAAGAAATGAATATTCAATAATGGATAAATTTTGATTATTATTATTGTTTGATTCGTAAGATTGTTTATGATTTTGTGGTTTTTGATTAATCAAATTTAATTTCTCCATAAATGGAAATGATTTCTGAATTTGAAGAAAAAATTCATGATCAAAAGGATGTTCATCATATAATGATACAACACGAACATATGTAAATAATCGATTTGGAAAATTATTTGTAATATCACTATAATATGGCATAAAAGATGGATAGGAATAAATATGATATCGACTTTGTTTTGTTTCTGGAAAATAATCAACATAAGAAATTATGTTATTATTTGCAAATTCAATAAATCTGTATTGAATATCTTCTATTGATTGCAAATCCATTCCACTATGAATATTCATAATTGAGCGAATATAAAATCTAAATTGATTTAATCGTGGCATACGATTAATAATATTTTTCTTCAAATCATTTTCATCAATAAATGTTTTATCAACTTTTACCGGAATATACAAATCGAGTTCTTCTAAATTTAACATTCGATATAGAAGTGGTAGGATTAACCCATTATAACAATTATAATCATTATTATAGTAACATGCTTCACCTTTACAGGAGAGATAAAAACACTTTAGATTTGGTAAATCATCCTAAAAAGCAAAATTTCTTTCATTATTTGGCAAACAATATTGACATTTTCTTGCAAAACTAACTTGATTGTTAATTTCTTCCGACGGATTCACATCCACTATATCAACATAGAGCGTATGAAGTTGATTAAAACGACCATCGAGAAGATAAAGGCAATCATCAATAGTGTATATCAGTGATGGGATCGGTTCGGTTTCGAACCGAACCGAGCCGAACCGAACCGAACCGAAACCGGTTCGGTTCGAAATTTTGAAAAATTCGATCGGTTCGGTTCGGTTCGGTTTGAAACTTTTTCGGTTCGATTCGGTTCGGTTACGAAGTATTCGGAACCGATTTCTATTCAAATATATTTAACTTTGTTAGAATGCTCTGAAATACATCTTTATTTCTTATTCTTTTCTCCTATTATTTCTCTCTCCCTCTTTTCTCTTCTATTTTTCTATTCGGCCGTCACAATTTTAATAAATTATCACTCTTTTCTTCTGTTCTAAATGTAAAGGCATTCCAATAAAAGAACACATTGGACGTCATCTTCTTTATATAAGATGGTCTAGGCTGGAGTAGAGGATATTTATTCATCTCTCTCCTTGTATTTCACTTATATATTTCTCTCTCTTTTATATATGAAAATACATGTATATGTAAAAGAAAAAAGAAAAGGAGAGATAATAATTTGAATAAAACTGAATTTCGGCTGAATTGAACCGAAGATTTTACAAACATCAAGTTTCATTACAGAGAAAGGGATCTGTAACAAATATATATACTAAGAATGGATAAAGAAAGTGTAGCAAATTTCTTATTTTTACTCGACTACTCATTAGTTTCAGTCAGTGCGTCCTTTTACAGACTACATTTCCGTATGAAGTACTCATATATATATAAGTATCAATTAATTATCATGTTCTAATAATTCTTAGTTGATAACGATAACATTACTTTCTTTTTAAGGTTCAAGGAATATATAACCATGAACATTTAAGTTAAGAAAATATCACCAAAATGATATTTCGAAATAGATCGATAAGTAAAGCCTAAAAGTGTCATTGGAATTGTCCATTTTCAAATGATGGGTAGATTATTTCTCTCAATTTTAGGTTCTCTTTGTCATGTAAGTCTTGTAAGTTGAGAGTAAAACTGGATTTAATAAGGTGGTAAATACTTATTATAAAGTATTACTTAATATTGTTCTATTAAAACGGGTGTATCATATAAAATGTAGATCCTATATATCTGCACTGAGCGACGACAAAAAAATACTTTGAGCGGCTTTCGATTAGCGGAATAAATTGACTAACTACTGAAAATAAACTAGTCTTCTATCATCCGAAATTTCTTTTATTCTGAAAACGAAAATACCCATGTTCTTAACATTATTTCTACTACAAATTTCTAGTTCGTTTTTAAAATTATTAATGACGTTTTAAGCATGTCTTCAATAAAGGTTTTTAGAGGAATATTCTTAGAAAAAAATAAAAACTTTTAAACCTTCTTTATCTTAAGTTTCGGATTCGGTTCGGTTCGGTTCGGTTCGGTTTAAAACTTTTTCGGTTCGGTTCGGTTCGGTTCAAAGTTTTGAAAAATTCGATCGGTTTGGTTCGGTTCGGTTTGAGATTTTTTCGGTTCGATTCGGTTCGGTTCCAAAAAAACACGAACCGATCCCATCACTGGTGTATATTCTAATATTCAATTTTAAAAGAGTTGAAGAACGAAACGTAGAAAAAAATCCATCATTAAACCATAATGGAATACGATTTATAAACGATGATTCATATAATGTTAAATCCATTAGATTGGTGAAAGTATTCACGATATAATTGCATACTTTTATCATTGAAAATACTGTCTCCTTGTTGTCGTCAATTGTAACAAAAAGTGTTGTAATCTGATTTTTGAGAATATTCGATGAAATCATTTCATCTAAACTTATATAAAATATTAGAAAGAAATTCAATCTATGCAAATAATATCAATATATTCAAAGATATGATTATCTATATCAGTAAATTTGACAAGTCAATTATTTGTTTAGAATAAAAAAAATTGAATCGACATTTCTTACCGTTAAAAAGACATTGAATTGACTTTTGATCAATATTATTAAGGCTGAGAGTATCTAAATTAGGATAATTGGCAGCACATAAAACATATTTCATAGATGATGATTCAAGATGAAGCCATTTGATTTTATCATGAATTTTAGGAAAAATTTGTGAACAAAATCGATTGAGCATCATATCAGAAGACAAAAAATCGATAAAAACATGTGGCAATCATTTGACAAAATTCAAATGACTTGTAAAAATTCGATCCTGAATAACTTTATTTATTCGTTGATTGACACCTTCTAATGAATAAAGTACATCAATATTGTCCAGTTTTTGGAAAATATTAATAAGAATTTCATCAGGTAAATCACTCAATCCAATGCATGATTGTTCCATGTTTGTTTTCACTTATCTTTTTTTTTGTCAACTTATGAACATCAATATTTATATGCGCATATATTCGTCTGTTCTATTTGACCGATATCGTGTCCATAGAAACAAGAATAAATTTTTTTTATAGTCAGAATTAATAATGAATTAATGTATGATGGAGAGAATAAAATTTCTATTTTTCTTTTTCTTAAGCATCAATCAGAGTAAAAAAATGAATTAAGTTAAAGTTGAATTAAGCAATATGATTGGTTCAATAAGAATTAAACTATTTGAAATGAAAAAGATGAACGTAAGTAAAGTTAGTACCAGATTCGAGTTCTTACTGTCTAAATTCGCTCCTGAACTTGAGTTGATTTTGGTTCAACTTGAGTTATATGCAGAGTTTTACGGCGAATCTGATGGTGCAAATATCAAGGAGGGTCATCGAGCAAAAATCAACACTTGATCCCAAAATACTGGTTTTTTCAAAAATTTTCTAAAAGATTTTCCTGTCCAG